AGGTGATTGGTTGGTGACTTGAGAGTGTGTGAGCAGAGCTAGGAAGTGTGCGTGCATGTGTGTGTGTGGAGAGAGAGAAGGTAGAGGGTTCAGTTTGAGTTTGAAGTCAGAAGTCAGCAGCTGTCAGTTGTGGTCAATCTACACAGAGTTCTGAGAAGTAGTCTTCTAACTAGAATCATATAGAAGTGCTGTGAAAGGCATTAAGATTCTAAAGGAGGAAGAAAATATACACTTAAGGGGGCATATTAGGACAAAATCTAATATAGTCAGGGTATTTTAAGACTGTGAGGGGAAAAGCTGACAGAGACCCAAGTAAAAGCAATTTAACAAAACATCTTGTTGTAACCAATACGCTTCTTTTACCAATAACGTTTTATCTTGTTTATTGTTAGCCCAGAGTCTTATCCTCAAAACCACATAGTCCAACGAAGGAGCCTTAGAGCCTGGGCACAATACTGTGGGAAAGGTTAATTAAAGACGGGAATTAAATTCCTGGTGGCAGCGATAGATACTTTGAGTGAGAGAAAGAAACAACAAGAAATTTAACATTACATCACACCTAACCACACAAAATAAGAGAGAGGTGCCATCACAAAGGTTGCTCCCTGAAAATCCTTACAGGTTCCCCTCTGGCTGGGCTGGTCTCATGCACCTCAGGCCAGACTTCTCCCAGGGAGAGGCTGACAGGAGGAGGGAAGGAGGAAAAGCTGAAGATGGGGGTGGAGCATATAAAGGCAGGTTGGCTGGTGGGAGGGAAGGAGAGAAGGAAACATGAAAAGGAGAGAGATTAATTTAGTAATACAAATCTGTTCTTTACATGGTCTTTTTCAAAAAAGGACACTATATTATAGATTAATTTTTTAAAATATTGGTTAAATTGCTTCCAGAAAATCAGCCATTTGATTCCTGCAATTGTGCAATCATCCCAAGACCTTCTGTACCTTGTATTTCCCCCCCTGTAACACATTGTCCTTGTAAATTGCTGCTTCATAATAGTTTGTAGATTAAGATAACTGTTTGTGGTTTACTGAACAAGGCATATGTCAAGCCATGTGATGGAACAGCGTCCTTCTAGGAGTGCTTTCCAATAAACACGGTGGGAAGTTTCTGAAATGATTACAGAAGGATATAGAGCTGCTATGTGTTTTATAAGTAGTAACAATTAACACTGACACTGGCATACTGCCTATGTGGCACTAGCCCTGTGAGTCAGTATCTGATGTTTGCTGTAAAGAAGCATTGTGGAACATAGTACCTAACAGAACTTGACATTCTACCTAAAAATAAGTACTATCATGATTTGATATTCTTTTAAGAACAAACAAAAAAATTGTAATAAATTCTAGCTAATGTCTTGTCATATTGTCTTAGACTCCTCTGATGTACTTTCTGATACGTAATCTTGGAATCTGTAACTTGAAGACATACACTTCTCACAACTGCTAGTCAGTAATGGCCAAGTAACCAAGCTCGTATACATTAAAATTGTCTTTTGTATTGGCATATGACATTACGTCACTTTAAAGCTGTATTTGTATGAGGACTGTTAGATGATTGTACTTAAGGGGGGTTGTTTTTTTGGGGGGGTTGTTTTGTTTGTCAATACTGGATTTTGAGTTGGCATTGTATGAATTTACTGTATCTTTGAAAAACTGAAATAAAAACAAAGTTAAAAAAAAGGGATATGGAACACAAGGGTCCCTTATCAGAATGCAGAGACTATAGCAGTTGCAGCCGAGCCCATAGCAACCCCGCTTCAGTATTTTCTGCTGGCCCATTTGGCGTCAAGGGTGTGTTCTGGATTGGAGGGCCTGAGGAGGCAAAATCCCAAACTGTCCATGAACTGCCCCTGACGCCACCCTGTTCTGCACTGATGCAGAGGTTATAATGGTAGGGTGCTGGTGGAGTTGCCTGCTTTGTATCTTTAAGATATGCCATCCTGTGGCTTAGTCGTCATTCTAAGCCCTTTGCAATGGAACCCTAAACCGAGTTAATACTGTTTTAAGCTCATAGACTTCAATGGGTTTAGAAGGGTTTAACTGCTTAAGATGGCACTATTGGCAGAAGGGGTATAGGACTGCTTCTTTTGTGGATCTCTGCTGAGTAAATGTTTTATTCACTGGCATCTCTGGAGCTCTTAGGAACTAGTGTACATAAATATATATATTTCTAGTAAAACATCATAATATTGCTATCTTTTTCTATATATGGAATATATGCCCTCTCTTTTAATAATATTGAACAGCGGAGATTCTGGTTTCCCTGTATATTAATACACCACAGATATTTACTGGGTTTCTTAACTCTTGGGTTGTTTTGCCCGGAAGGCATCAAAGGTTGTATACAGGGCTTTTTTGGTAGAAAAAGGTCCAGCAGGAACTCATTAGCATAATAGGCCACACCCAGCAGCAGAAACTCATTAGCATATCAGGCCACACCCCTGATTGCACCACTCATTAGCATATTAGGCCGCATTCCCATGTTACCAGAAGTGTGCTCATCCAGCCACACCCACCTTTTGCTTCTTATTCTGTTTACCTTGTTTGTTGTCAAAACTCATGGCTTTTTTTGTAGCAGGAACTCCTTTGCATGTTAGGCCACACACCCCTAATGTAGCCAATTCTAATGAGTTTCTACTGCTGGGTGTGGCCTGTTATGCTAATGAGTTCCTGCTGGGTGTGGCCAACTTGGGACCCATCCGGAACTCCATTCCTGTGAGTTCCTGCCCCAAAATAGCCCTGGTTGTATACGACATAACAATGATCAACTAATAACATTTATAAAACTCCATTATTATATTGGACAGACGAGCAGCATTAAAAATGTGCTCTGGGAAGAGTAGTTGCACAAAAGTATATAAAAGCCGTGAGGGAGAAGCCACAAGCTTCCCTCCTCTTGCTTCCTGTTTCACTCAGTGAGAGCGAGCCAGTTTGGTGTAGTGGTTACGAGTGTGGACTCTAATCTGGGCGAACTGTGTTTGATTACCCACACCTTTACATGCAGCTGCTGGATGACCTTGGGCAAGCCACAGTTCTCTCAGAGCTGTTCTCTCCAGAGGAGTTCTCAAAGAGCTCTCTCAGCCTCCCCTACCTCACAGGGTGTCTGTTGTGGAGAGAGGAAGGGAAGGAGATTGTAAACTGCTCTGAGACTCCAAATGAAGGGCAGGGTATAAATCAAATCTCCTCCTCGCCAGACATTTCCAGGAAGCCCACAAGCAGGGTAGAAGAAGAAGAAGAAGAGATTGGATTTATACCCCGCCCTTCACTTGGAGTCTCAGAGCGGCTTACAAACTCCTTCCCCTCCCCCTCCCCACAACAGACACCCTGTGAGGTGGGTGGGGCTGAGAGAACTTTGACACAAACTGCTCTTTCAGGTACAGCTGTGCCAGAGCTTGTGACTGACCCAAGGTCACATCAGCAGGTGCAAGTGGAGGAGTGGTGAATCAAACCCGGTTCTCCCAGATTAGAGTCTGCACACTTAACCACTATACCAAATTGGCTCTCTATGAAGACGATCAGATTTTCTTCTGAAACGTCTCCAGCAACTGGTTTTCTGAGATATCCAGCTTGTGAATCTGGAGATTCAATATTCAAATGACTCCTGCTGGGCCATGAAACTTACTGAATGTCCTTGGGCCAGTTTTGGCCTAATCTCCAGGGTTTTTGTAAGGCTAAAGGGAGGAGTGGAGAACTATGTATGCCAGTCCAATATCCTTGAAGGCAGGGGAGTAGATCGTGACTAGTTTTCTAGACTGTTTGTCCAATGGAAGTTTATCTTTGATACTGTATGCTGTGAGTCACTGAGGAAGCATTTAGGATTTAGGATTTCCAGTTTGTGAAGAGTAATATATGAAGACCATGGAAGATTGAGATTTTTGACAAAGAATTTGTATCGAAACGAATGGCTTTACTTGAGAGGTTCGTAATCCGCTCGTCTCCACGCCACTGCTGTGTCTGGTTGGCGCTTTATCGCTGAAAACAAGGATTAAAACAACATGAGAGCATCACAAGTTTAAGTGCTTGTATTATTGTTATCCATTTGTGTGCACGTTTTCTGGCAACACACTGACATCACTCCCCTTGAGCGTGGAAGTGACATCAGCCTGTCAGTGGTGAATGTACTGAAGTCACTTCCTGGTGCATGGGGAACGATAACAGTGCACTGGGATACTGCTGATGTTCCCCCCTCCATTTCCAGCCATTTTTTCCTGACTGGCCATCGGAGCAGCAGTTGGGGATCCCCCGCCCACATTGGGAGAATGGCAAGCCTGTAAGTTCTAGTTTTTTGAGAAAAGACCTGTGTCCCCATCTTTTCCTTACTGTACATAACTTTGTAAGCCTCTCTTATGTCCGACTTACCTTAGTTTTTCTAAACAAAGCTCCCCCTCCTATGATGTAGCCTTGTGATCGTGATGGCGCTCCAACCTTGTGATAATTGTCATTACTCTTTTCTGAATCCTTTTGAGTGCTGTGGGATCCCTGTTTACATACTGTGATTCTCTCTAGATATATACACTCATAATGCCGGAAGTCACAGAGAGAGTACAGTTTCCCAGTTGATGTGGAACAGGAGGACATAAACCAGGGAACCCATTCTTCCTTGCCTGCACCCAGAACTAAAAGCCCAGTGTCAATGCTAAAGAAAATGGAAGGAGCACACAGAAAAGTCAAGATTGGGTTGTGGAAGACTGAGAGGTTCCTTCCCTCATGGATGACTATGTGATCAGCCTGCACCTTGGGCTGGTTGCCCTGGGCAGAGTTCCAGTGCAACAGTGCAAATACTCATAACGGTGAAGTTTAATTGTGTGCAGTGAGACAATTGCTCGGCTTGCTGAAGACTGGATCAGTGCAAGAGCACATCGACCACAGTACGGAATGTGCCTATCTGTGCTAGCCATCGGATTAATGAGGCATCTTAGCTAACTTCATGCAAGAAGAAAAGTCCCCAGTCTCTGAGGTTGTTACCATTTGCCATTCTCTCTGCTAAGTGGAAGCTTCGACATGCAGCTTACCAGTCCTACTGTATTTTTCTTGCTGCTCTCTTGCTGTCTGTGGGATGTGGAGTCAAAAAACGTCGCATCTGTTATTTCGGTGACAAATGGAGGACAATGGGGCGAATGGGGAGAAAGGAAAGTCTGCCGTACAAGCGAGGCCAAGGGGTTTTCACTGAAGGTTAGCGTACTTTCTCTGTCTCCCCTTTCCCCCTCCCAACTCTGTTCTTCAGGCGGTCATTTGGGGATATCTTTATTTTCTTCTGTTCTTGGTTTCTGTTTCTAAAGGGAATATCTGGCTCCGGTATTAGGTTGCTGCTGGGGAATGTGACAGAACAATTTTTACAACAGGGCCAGGATCCCATAGCACGTTTTAAACCTGATGGGAGGTCTTCTTGAAATATGTACAGGGAGGCTTCAGTAATGGCAGTATAACTTCTGATTGCAAATGTTCCCAATAAAAGAGGGAATGTTTAAATGTAATGCTATGAAAGAATGTATTAAGAAAAAAACTTTGCTTGAAGACCAGTCCATATTTCTGTTAACAATGAAGGATCCAGGATGATAGAATGGTTAGCTTCATGATCCCCAAGGTGACATCTTTGAGTCCTACTTGCTTCTTCCCCAAAGCAAAGACCCAGTCTTGATGTTTTTTTAAAAAAAATCATCTTTATTGATTTTCATATGACATACAGAACATAAAAAGAAACAGCCTTGATTTTTTAACACCTCATTAGAGTGGAGTGTTTCTGAAGACCCCAGGAGGTGTCACTTTTGGATCTAAAGGGACCATCCATTTGGAAATAGCTGCCTCCGTCATAGAAAAATGTTTGGGGGCTTCCCAATCTTTTGCTATCAAACTTCATGGTGACTATCTCATAACTGGTTCCCCCGCCTCCCATATTTTGGTGGTGCCCACAACCTTTCTGGAAAAGGGTCCACAAGCTCACCAAGGACGAGGACATCTGGATTAGATTATGACATTTATTTTATTTACCAAATTTGTACCCTTCCTTTTCTGCCCTTACAAGGGTTTGCCAAGGTGGCTAACAATTTAAAACGTGCATGATAGAATTAGATTGTAAAGCTGTAAAAATCAATGCCCCTCCCAAGCATACATTATTAGAACAATTTTAAAAAGAGTTAAAAGGCAGTTAAGATACATACAAAACAGTTAAAAGACATACAAAACATAAAAACAGTGTTAGGAAGGAGGGATTACTGAGGGAGTGTTAAACAAAACAAAAAGTCTCCACCTGCTGGCGGAAGGCGGCAACAGGAGGGGACAGATGAATCCCCCTGGAGAGAGAGTTCCAGAGCTTCGGTACCATGACAGAGAAGGGGCTCTCCTGCATTGCCGTCTGCCTGTTCTCACGAGGGAGGTGGGGGCACACATGAAGCAGGTCCTCTGGAGATGACCACATTATAACACTTTACAGAGTTGTGAGAAGGAAATTTGGGGAGGAGGGAATTCTGTGTTCTTCCCTATGCTCCTTGGAGGATAAAATAGACACTTCTTTGCTATCTAGATAGTGCAAGAGACACAGATACGACTTAAAATGGAAATAGATTGAATTTAGTCCTCGTGGGTAGCATCTGTGCATTGCTGATTCTTCTAGAGCAATCATTTTCTATGGGGATCTCCAGCAACGACAAGCAACAAGTCCCGTTGCAAATGATTGCTGTAGTCAAGCCATAGCACAAAATCTACCAAGGTGGGATCAATGTTCCCTCTAAACTGCGGAGTCTTGTAAGCAAAAATTCTACTTTGTGAGCTACTGGCAATAAAGTTGTGAGTGAGCAATTAGGCTGCTGCATAAATTAGTTTGCTCTGAAGCCATCCTTCCAGAGCTAAGACAAAAATGTGTGAGCCAGAGGCTAAAAAACTGTGAGCTAACTCAGCTTAGAGGGAACACTGGTGGGGATGCAAGCTATGATTAACACAGCCTATTGTTTCTTTTTATACTATAGATGTCTGTGGTATTTAAAGCTGAATGCCCAGGGTGCTTGACAGGTGGTATGTCCTAAAGATATACATCAAACTTTATATTGCTGATGCTCTTTATCTTATGGTGATGCGAAAAGCATAGCTGTTGAACCCATAATTGAACCCATAATAAACCTCTTTTTTTGTTTCTTGTCCACATTGTGGGGTTTTCCTAGGTACAGCTCGGGCAAGGGAGCTTTTCTGATGATACTTCCCTAAATGGCATTCGCCTAATTTGCACTGACGACTCAGTCATCACATCTGCAGTGGGAAAGTGAGTAACTTCTTTAAAAAAGTATTCTCCAATAATATACCTTCCCCTCTTTATCCACATTCTACTACCATTCCTTCACCTCCAGGATGGGGCAAAGCAAAGAAGAACAGTGTTTATTCCTAAGAGGTCCAATCAAGAAGAACTGAAGAACCAGAATGTTGTATTTCATGTCTCTAAACTGCTTTAAATAGCTGGCAAGGGCTGCCAGGACTATAAATGTCCCTGCCGATGTAAGGGGGGAATTTAATTGGGACAATGTTATGTATACAACAGTGGGAGAGCTTCTAGTGTTCTGGCCCCACTGCTGGACCTCCTGATGGCACTTGGTATTTTTTGCCCACTGTGTGACAGAGTGTTGGACTAGATGGGCCATTGGCCTGATCCGACATTGGCTTCTCTTATGTTCTTATACATAGGAACTTAAGAAGAGCCCTGCTGGATCAGAGCACTGCCCCACTTCACACAGCAGCCAATTAGTTGCTGTGCAGGGCCAACAAACAGGGCACAGGGGCTACAGCGCCCCCCTCGTGCTGCCTTCTGGCACTGGTATTCAGAGGTTTGTCACCTCAGCCTATGGAAGCTAGGAACGTGTCCTCCATGATGTACTTGTCCTCCATGAATGGAATTCCCTCTGAAAGCTTGCTGTGCTCCTGGCTATCACTACATCCTCTGGCAGTGAATTCCACATTTTAATCACTTGTGGAGTAAAGAAATATTTCCTTTTGTCTGTCCTGAACCTATTCCCAGTCAACTTCAGGGATACCCCATCCACTTTCTCCAGCCTTGCATAATTTTATAAATGTCTATCATATCTCTCCTGAGTTGTCTTCTTCTTTTTCTCTGCTGAATAGTCCTGGACTCTTCAGCCTTTCCTCATAGGCAAGGAGCTCTGATCCTTTGGTTGCCCTTGTCTGTAGTTTTTCCAGCTCTGCAATATCCTTTTCAAGACACAGTGACCACAACTATACACAGTATTCCAAATGCAGGTGCACCATGGCTCTGTACAAGGTCATTAGAATGCCAGCTGTTTTATTTTCAAACCCTTTCCTGATAATCCCCAGCATGGTATTTGCCTTTTTCGCTGCTGCTGCATGCCGCATTGCCATTTTCACTAGACCCAGAGATGTCTTTTAGTTATAGCCAGTTCAGATCCCATCAGCATATATTTGAAGTTTGGATTCATTATTCCAATTTGCATCACCTTAGACTCACCAAGAGTGAACTTGATTTGCCACATTATTGCTCAGTCACCCAGCTTAGAGAGATCCTCCTTCACAACCTCCTTCGGCTTTTACCATTCAGAATAATTTTTATCATCCATAAATTTGGCCATGACACTGCTCATCTCCAATTTCCAAATCATTTATCAACAAATTAAACACCATTTTAGTTTGAAAACAGACACTTAAATAACAACAACACAACACACCTCTTTGGGGCGTGTGTGTGTGCATGCTGGCTCAGCCATCCCAGTGAGCAGTGAGCAGCAAGGATGGCAGAGAGAGAGCAATCAAAGTCCAGTCCAAAGTCAGAGGTTCTAGAGAGCAGATTTAACAAAGTCCAGTCTAGGGTCAAGGAGTTCCAGGTAGCAAGTCCAGTCCAGGGTCAGGTTTTTCAGAAAAGCCAGTTCAAGGTTGTAGAGGTCCAGTAACAGCATGGTTGGTAGCTCAGTAACAAAATGTTGCATCCACAAACTATTGTTTCTCCTGGCTGACTTTATAGCCAAGTCTTAACAAGCTACAATCGCAGCCAATTCCATAGCAGTCATCCTGAAACTATTCATCCATCTCATCAGTTGAAAGCTGATGGTGGGCCATGAGTCTCACACTCCTCCTCCTTTCCTTCCACTCAGCTCGCCTCTGACAGTGTCGGCGCTGCAGGGGCGTGGGTGAGATAGGTGGGCTGGGAGTGGCTTCGGAAGCCTTGCTTACTGCTTCAGAGCAACAAGGCGCTGGCTTGGTTTCAGCTGTAGGCTGTGACTTCTGCTCAGCCACTAGCCTGCCTTCTTGTTGCTCTTCTCCTGGCTTAGAGCCAGCTGCAGCTGGTTGGTCAATTACTGGCTGAGGGCCAGCTGCAGATAGCTCTTCTTCTGCAGAATCTGTGCTGTCATTGAGCACAGACTGACTTACAACAGTCTGCAACTTACATAGGAATTTACCACTATGCTAAGTTGCCCCCATTCTGTTATAGATGGGCTCTGCTGGGGTAGTGCCTACAGAGAGTGCAAGAAGGTTTACTTTCTAGTAGCTGCATCCCACTGGCTGAAGTGCTGCTGCGTGGGTGCCTTCTCTCATCCCATGCTTTGATGCTGAGCCAGCAAGGGCAGATGGAGGAAGGCTGGTGACTTCATCTGATGGAGCCCATGTGAGACCTCCCTGATTATACAGGGGTCCGATATGATTAGCCGGGTGTCTTTTTTCACTTCAGGTCAGATCTTTTTGGGTCAGGTTTATTGTTTTCTAATGTTTTAATGTTATTTTGAATTAATTTTTACTGTTCAGTGTTTTTATCTATAGTATCCTATTGTCTTATATCTGTTGTAAACCACCCAGAGAGCTTTGGCTATGGGCAGTGTAGAAATGAAATGACTGATGATGAAGAAGATGATGTGTGGAAAGGTTTCCCCTGGACTATATGGGAAGGCAAGGAGGAGGGAGACAACGAGAAATGAAATCTGTCCTGCACTGCACTCAAGACAAGGAAGGAAAGGAAAGGAAAGGCCCCACAGATTCTGTGGGCACAGTGGGAAGGGGTGAGGAGAAGAGCAAAACAGCCCCATCTCATACCTGCCCAGCATCCCCTGGAGTAGTATTGTGAGTGTCAGCAGCCCTAACCAGCACTGAGGCCATCAGAGGCTTCCACAGTGGCTATTGCATGATGTTGAGCTGAGGAGGAACATTGCTGGTTTTCTCAAAGCCATGCTGTGAGCATGCTGGGATGAGAGGAAGTGGTGGTGGTGGTAGGTGGAGCTTGAGGATGGGGGAAGGGGCTAGAAGGGAAAGATAGAACCTTGTAGGGGGAAAGACACCTCTTAGGCTATGGTCACATGGTCATTTTGATTGGGTTTCACTGCTGTTTCCTCCCACTTTTAAAATCGCTGACCAGACAGGCCGATCCACCTCCCGCACTGAAGCGGGCTCACTCCTGCAATGCTCCTGGTTCTCTCCCACATTTTCTTGCACTGGGAAAATCAAGTACTTTCCAGGTATTTTTGCTTTGAATCTGAGATTTCATCGAGCAGCTGTCTCTTGCAATGATTGCGATTAGGGTTGTCTAACCGTTCTTCGCATGATGAGGTCCCCCCCCCCCAGCTTCTGCCTTTGAGTGCATGAGCAATCCTGCGCTGAATAAATTCAATATTTAAACGTTCAAGCGCACATCCAGTGCAGAGGTCACAGTCTTGCCCACCCCAGGAGTCCCCGAAGCTGCGGCGATAGGAGGGAGCCCCGGGTGCTGGGGAGCATGCCCAGCTTGCCAGCATTGTCGAGCCGGGGCTGGTCGGGCAGCAGGAGGCGGCATTGAAAGTTGCGGGGGGGGGGGGTGGGGGGCAGACAGCTGGAGAAGGAAGTGCCAGGCATGCTGGCAAGCGAGCAGGTGGCAGAGCCTGCCCCAAGAGTCCCCAAAGCTATGATGTTAGGAGGGAGGGAGCCCCTGGCGCC